AATTACGATCTTAAGTTTGGAGAAAATCATGTCTATAAGAGGGCGTGCTTTGTTCTTTTGGGTCGCTCTCCTCCTTCTCCACAGAAAGGCTACTGTAATTATCACAAAAATCGCCGCAATAATCAGCAACTGACCGACTATCCACTTCTTTGATGGACATTGTGTGCACGTTTGCATTTGCTTATAGCGTCCTTTAGTGCAAACTGCACAGAGTGGACCATCGTACCCACTCTCACACTGGGAATCCAAACCACCTTTGCAGGTATTTTCTGTTGGGCACAAGTAAGGTGTCGGTATTGGAAAAGGAAATCGTATATCATCAGGACCTAAATCTGGTAAAGGCGCTTTGACATTTTTGATAAAATCCAAGTAACGATGTTTGTAAGTCTCATTCCTCCATTCCCACCAATAGCCCGACTTCAGATAAGCACAATCATCTCTGCACTCTAGTCCACCTTGTCCACATTTTTCACATTTCTCGAACATATGAATTCGGTAAAATCCTTCCAGGCATTTGCAAGCACGATACCCAGCGAAGAAATCGGTCTCTGTCCCTATAGAAGATTTAACGGGGTAATGATGCTTAGAAAACGGCTACGGTTTGTCTCCGTTGGTGATCAAATGAAAAATGAATGACGTCATATCTCGCGACAATGAAGTGCAAAATAGCAAATATATGTTTTAAAAACTGTTACGTTACGAAATAATCAATCAAACCGTACTTTGCGAATACATTTCCGAATCGGGTTAAAGGTATGGTTCCTATGAAAACTTGATGTCACAAGACCAAGAAGGGACCCACTCTTTACCGATGAAGCTAAGGAAAAGTTAAAACGTTTCGTCGTCGTTGTTAAATTTTCTTTAAGTCATATGAAATAATTGACATACATTGCAATTAAAAAAAAATGCATGCAATAATTTTCTTATAATTGATTAAAAGCGTGTTCGCCGTTACCTTGAGGGCAAGACTTGCAGTCTTGAGCTTGAGTCCCTGGTGCTTCATCAAATGAAACAAACGAGCCATTGGGACATCTCTTACAGCTTGTGGCCACATGGGCGACATCATCTGAGTAGAATCCTCCTGACAAAGAATCAAGGAAAATTCATTATCTACCGATTTCTGAACAGAAGTTACTTTTAATTCCTTTTCAATTCCTACATTACTTATACAATAAGAACATAAGAGATGCTTAAGTCTGCTAACGGTCGAGCTTTCTTTGTCAAAAACATGAAAAGAGTTGGAACTAACCTCAAGCTGGGACGAAGAATTGGCTATGCTCATCTACTCTTGACTGTATTTAATTATTATATAGATATAAATACTACTAATGAATCAGTTATTTTTTTTTCGTAGAAAATGACAAAATGTACCAAAAACACTATAGAAAAGCTATTTATATACCTGGCGGACATGGCGTGCATCCAAATATTCCTCTAGTGGAAGAGTTAGAAAATGTTCCCACAGGACAAGGAAAAAGGGACAATTCCACCTCCGAGCGATTATTAACTAATACTTCAAATCCCGAGGCCATTAAAGCCTCAACAAATGCTGCCACATTCGGGTCTCCTTTCTTGAAGTCGATTTTGATGGCCGCTGCAGCGGTGTCGATAGGATTCCTAGGAAGCAGAGTATGAGCGGGGAGAGTGTGCAGCGAAGGTGATTTATTAAGGGTTTCAGAAATCATCGTTACTTCTAAAGAAGAAGCAGGGAATAAGGCTGAAACACTACTGCTAGACCTAAACAGATGTAAACGTCACTGCTTAACACAAAACAATCTCTATCGAGGTACAAAAACATCCCTAACTTTTGAGAGAACTCAAAGAAGCTATGGACAGGCATTTCTAGTTCTCCTAAACTTTCTCTCGCGTTTCTGTATGTTGATAGAAACACGGACGGAGTTTCAGTTCTATTTTCTATAGTGGAAACATCTTTTTGAGAAACAAAAAGTCTTACTGTAGCTACTTCTGTTGTCGATTAGTTGCCATTTAACTGAAAAAAAAAAACACCATTTAACGTATGGTGTTTCGTCCACGATTGAGAGAACATCGTGGTATTTTCACTCATTTTATTTGCCTACAGAAAAAAAAAATAGTCGGTTTCCCATAAATATAACGAATGTACAAACAGATATATGATGCAGCGCCTCCGGTTTTGCGAGTAATATTCCAGTGTTCCAGTCATTCTGTTTTGTATTATGCTGTAAAAAAAGGCGGGAGAATGAGACCTGGACAGCCCTCTTCACTAACAGCTTTTAAAGCTTAAGAGACAGAAAGCCACAGAGTGTACTTAGACGCGAAAAAAAATGATGTGTTCTGAACAATGCAAACGAGAAAGACCAGACTTCATCAAACGCACTGATGTTTACAAAGGAAGTAGATAAGACGTAAAGGATTTGGTCTAGAAGGTACAAGACACCCACGGGATCACACCGTAACAAGAATAGCATTCATTCTCCTTCGTCGATATATAAAAATATAAAAAGGAAACAGTAATGATAATAATATGATGATATGATTATGATAGATGCCTGTCAAACCAAATAGTCAAAAATCTAAATCGTGGCTATTTACGAAGTGTGAATGAATTTTGGTTTGCAATAAGAAAACGAATACGTCACAGTTGAGAATCTAAACCATGGAGGCCGACAAATGAGTCAAGGCTCAATTTCTTCAGCTTTGTCCGAAGCAGAAATCTGACAGAAAAAAGGAAGAGAGAAACATGACAGAAAAAAAAAAAAAAAAAAAAAAAAGAAAAAGAAAACTGAAATCCATATTTCAATAAAATTGAGATAGTGCATATTACTGGGAGAAATCAGATGTGCAGTAAGGCCTATATACCGGCCAAGTTTTACATTGGCAGTTTGATATTTTTTTCCCTTAACGGCACCTAGAAGCTCGCATCATGTTACATTACCAAGCCACAATCGTAGAGCTCGGCCGTATTCTAGGCTTGAATGCATTTATGTAGAGACGATAATGTGACATACTCGAAAAAGCAATTAGGGGTCGGAGAAGTTCCAGGAACACCTTTCGCCCGATTATTATTTTTTTAATTTTATCCTTCAATTAAGCCTGAAATTTGCAACCTTTATGTTACTTAGTTAGACCATATTCCTGTTTGTTGTCTATTAATACTACGGTTTTCAAAATTCCAGTATCTATTTCTACAGTGATTCCTCTACAGTTAAATAAATGGATTTGGTTATATGAATCGCTAGAATTGCAGACAAAAACGATTGTTTTTACTGTCCTTCTCTGTCAGTATGTCCTCTTCGTTTGTATTATATACCTATAATCTCAGATTCACCGAGTAAACGAATCGATCCATGATTAATCCTTTAATTAGTTGAATTACATAAAACTTCAAGTTATTCTTCGGTCAAGCAATAATCCACAGATCCTTTATTTTGGGGTGACTTTAATACCAGTTGAATGCTAACGATGCCTCGGCTACTGAGGAGCAGTGAATTTCCAAATGATTCCACATTGGAACTTTATTTTGTGGAGGCCTAGTGGTATTTTTTATCATATTTATAGTGTTAACTTACATTTCTAATCTTGGACCACCAATTCTAAATGCTCCAGGCTCGATTGACTTGATTGGATTGTCTGTTAACATTCTTGAAATAAAGCAACACAAGCAATAATCAACAAACAACAAATTGTAGTCAGTTTTCCCCAACCATTTCAAGCGAGACCTGCTACTGGGAGCTTTTTGCTGGCCGTTTGCTGCAAAAACGACATAACTTGCAATTCATATTTTTCCCTTCTTTTTTTGTGTTGCATTAATTTTTAACATTCTTTAAATAAAGCAACACTAGTAATAATCAACAAACTACTAAATGTCGTCACTTTTGCCCAACCATTTCAAGCGAGACCTGCAACTGGGAGCTCTCTGCTGGCTGTTTGCTGCGAAAAAGACATAACTTCTCATAATTCATATTTTTCCCTGACTTTTTAGTCGTGGATACGCAAAGCGTAGAAACGGCTACATGTTAGGGGGCAAAATATGCAAATGTATCACTCACTCAGATGTAAACTTTTGTCCGATAACATGAATAGCCTGGGTTCGAGTTTTCTCGAAGACCTTCAAAGTTGAGAGCGGCCATTTTGGTTCTTGTATTTCGCTTTTGTAAATATCTAGTATTTTACCTAGGGCTTTTGCTCACACGTAGATGAAAGCTGAGAGAGGTATTTATGACTGTGGTCATATAGCGGTCACAAGAGCGCGGTTGGTGAGGTCAAAGAATTGTTACAAGTGAAAGTCAGGAAGTGAGATCGTGTTTGCTGAACGTGGCTCAAAGCTTTTTTTCTTGCTTGGCTAGAGAATTTGATGGCCTTCCACTCTCTTTGTCTCCTTCTAGAATCCAAGGTAAGCCTAAGGTAGCCTGTTTCTGTATTGTAATTTTTTTATGGACACATTGAAATTCTGGCGGTGCTTGCATCTTAAATTCGAAACACGTGCTCTAAATATGTTGTATTTTCAAATAAGCTTACTTCAAGCAAAAATTCAAATTGCTCAATCTTTTAATTTTGTTGTTCTTCACACTACAGTTTTTCCGTATTCTGTGCAGCTCGACCAGAGTGAGCATTTCTTGATGAATGGTATACAAGTCAGCATCCACGATCGAGTAAATATGCCCTAAAATTTGAGCGATGGATAGACAAATTAGCATTCGAGAGACTGTGTAGATCTACTTTTTGCGAGAGATATTTACAGTCCAATCATGTCCAACACAAGCCATGTCAAACAGGCATAGTGGCTGGTTAGGTATGTATAACCTTATTTTTGTTCTAGAAACGAGATATGTCAACAACTGGAATCAAAACTTGAAATAGATATAAATTGTACCCGTCAACAATCGTTTTGAATATTTCTACATTGTTAGTGAAATGAACACAAAAAATTGCCAAGATAGGAACAAAATAATGTGATATCCGTTTCCAAGAAAGGAAAGTATTGTTAGTTTTATTGTGTACATTACAATCTGCAATACCCTTTTTATTTTGTATTGCATCAAGCTGAGGGGACTCCCTATAGTTGACTCAAGGTGAGCTTTTCATCAGGCGAGAGGCAGGGATTTTAAATATTCATTGCTAATTTATCCACGAAAAGAGAATTAATGATGGGTCTACTGTAGACATGTGAAAGGGTTTTCAAGCTTGAAGCTACATGTACATGTACATAAACTTTTTTGACACAAGATGTAGCAGGGGATTTCATGGCAGAGTATCGTTTCAGCCAAACTTTTTCAAGTAGCCCTTTCTGGGAGGGATTCTGAAAACTGTTTGAATGATTCTTATAATATTTGTACAAATACTTTTCTCTCTATTCCCATTTACCAGCTAGCTAAAATCATATTGTTCATGTTTGCAATTTATTATTATTTTTTTTCAACTTTGCCTAACTAATTAAATTACTTATATACATATTTTTTATTATTATTATTAGGCAGGGAGACCACTACAGCCTAGCCAGTTACAATGGAACCCTCGTAATATCCGTGTCCCACTAAAGTAAAATTGTGCAAAATATACTTGGCATTCTCAAGCTGATTGTCTTAAAATTATGAGTGTCAAAACCATGTGACATGCTTTCTGCATCATTGCAATACAGCCTTTTCAGCCTTTAACTGAAGAAGCACCACAACCAAATTACCTTGACCCAAAATGCACTACTCATTCACTAATATTGTACATATTATGACCAAAAACTCCGACTGGGTGTTAATTTGAGATTGGTGATTATAGTGAACTCCCGTTTAATGGCTTCCTTGTGCAACAGACGGTACACGTCAATTGACACTATATGTACAAGTTAATATAAAATAATTATTTTCCAATGCCAATCAGAATTAATTAATATATTCCATTTTAAAATTTATAAGGAGTCTGTATAAACAGCCTGTAATTTGATTTTTGTTTACTTGCCCAGTCACACTGCAGACGTACTGCTTGAGTTTTCAAAAAGGCTTTCAAAAGGTCATTTCAAGAATTATCAACCACAAACTAATTATAGATCAAGTAAATGTATCTAGGCATTGTATCCACGACTTCTTCATAGTTTCCTTTGATTTTGTGTCGTATTAATTACAGATTCAGATCTTTTTAAGGGCCCATTAATCGATCTCTTCGAGCCGTCGCTAGGGAAAATTTATTCTCATATAACCTTATCATTTTTGGTTAGTTCAAGGTTATTTCATGTGTTTTAACTTTTGCATGATCAGTAACACTAGTGATGACGTCATCAGGCCACGCCCATGGTCATGTGACTAATACTGAAAAAACGCAAATGCTCCCAGGCAAATTACTTTATCGGGATTTTTTTCATTGATTTAATATCTTAATTTAAATCCTCATTACGCTATGTATAGATTTTGTTTCATTTCTAAAACTTCAGATTTTTAGAGAATTTCAAAATTTAAAAAAATTCGTAATTTTCTGAAAAAAGCATGATTTCGGAAAAGGAATGCATAGCTATGTTTCCAACTTTGGCTTTAATCGAAATCCGTCGAAAAAGACCGGATTTAGTGAAAAACCGCGTTTCCTTTAGCATTTAAAGAAACCGGAAGTGCGCCCGATATATATTGGAAGTTACCCTATCAGCGCGTGCGCAATTTACACTACC